GGTTCCTTTCGCGGTCCGCCGCCCATTTCCAATATGGCGGCGGCCGTTCCATTCTCCTGCGCCGGAAGTGACGTCTCCCCCCCCCGGCGCCCGGAAGTGACGCGATTGCAGCGTTTTGACCCTCCGCAGCCGCGCCCCCTGGCCATGCTGCCGGGATCCAGGAGCAGGTAAGACTTACCTGAAACCCCCGCAGGGAAAGGCACCAGTGCCCCGGTCGGCGGAGCGGGCTCTACCCCCCTGGAGAGCCCCGCTGGGACCATCTGGGGTCCGACGCCCCCACCCTAAAAAGGGCACTTTAGGATGAACCTGGCTGAAAGGTCCCCCCCACAAGGCCCCTGCCTTGCTTGGAGAAAGGAGGAAACCTCAGCCAGGGACCCTCTGTACTCCGCCAGAAAGCCCAGACAAAATAAAAAACGGGTGTAGCTCCTTCCTGGCCGGAGGAAACACTAAAACTGGGGGCCAATGGGAGAGAGGACGCCTATAAAGGGAAAAAAGGTGGAGCGGGTGTTTCCTGGGAGGAGCCCTATCTCTCAAGTGAGCTGTCCTAGAAGATGACTAGGGAAAGTGGAACACAGGTACCTGTTGGAGTCTGAATCATGGAGTTTCCCCTTCTGGGCTCAGAGTCCTCAGGCAGAAGGCAGGCAATCTCTCCCCTGTGCTGGGGGTCTCGGGCAGCTAGCAGGTAATCTCTCCCCTGGACTGGGGGTCTCGGGCAGCTAGCAGGCAATCTCTCCCCTCGGCTGGGGGTCTTTGGCAGCTGGCAGGCAATCCCTCCCCTGGACTGGGGGTTTCGGGCAGCTAGCAGGCAATCTCTCCCTTGCTGGGGGTCTCTGGCAGCTGGTAGGCAATCCCTCCCCTGGACTGGGGGTCTTGGGCAGCTAGCAGGCAATCTTTCCCCTGCTGGGGGTCTCTGGCAGCTGGTAGGCAATCTCTCCCCTGCTGGGGGTCTCTGGCAGCTGTCGGTGCAGATCCCCGTTCGGCTAGGGGTGGTCTGCAGAGTCTGGTCCCCAAAGGTCCTGCCGCAGCTGGGCTCCCTGGTCATCTAGGTAACCGGGGCAGGCTCGGCAACGAGGCATGCCCCCTGGACAGGGGCCGCAAGCACGAGAACTTCCCGTGCCCACGCTGCGGATGACAGGGCTGAGGTGGCGTCAGTGAGACACCGTAGCCAGGAACATCCCTGCAGGAGGCTCACACCTCTCCGAGGAGAGGTGCGAGTCTTGCCACCTTCTCCCCCCTGCAGAGGGAGAAAATAGTAGCAGGGGTGAGGAAAGCCGCACCTCTCATCCCACGGCAGCAGGATGAGAGGTGGACGGGGGGTCACTGGACCACAGGGATGAATCGAGCTGGCGACGGGACAGTGAGAGGTCCAGGATGACACTGGACCCCCGGGGACATCAGAGGGTGTCAGGGATGCGGGTGTGACCAGAGATGTGTGTACTGACACAGGGAAACGCAGGCTTCAGATATGGTATAAATAAGACAATTTATTAAGACTAACAATACAAATATAAACGCAGTGCACCAAACCCCAAGCTAACACAAATACATACAACAAGGTGAAACAAACCCAAACCTAAACTGATATAGATACACAGGTACATACACATATAGAGCACAACGTAGTCAGGCAGGCCGGGTCGATAACTATCGGGCAGGTAGGTACAGGAGGAGCAGGCGGAGAGTAGTCAGGGTCACAAGCCAGGGATCAAACAGGAGAAGTCAGCAGAGGTCAGGATCAGGCAGGGTCGGCAACAAGTCATGCAGGAACAGGAATGCAGGTTACAAGATACAGGGGCCCATGGAAAAACACACACTTATGCAGGCCATAGACGGGGAAAAAAACGGCAGATTTTTCTTTTAAAAAACGAAAAATCGGTCGTTCAAGCGGCCGACGTTACCATCAATGGTAAAAAAAAAAAAAAAAAAATCGGCCGATTTTCATCCTGTCTACAGCCGGCAAAAAGTATCCCTGCAGAGAGCTCCGCTATTTCTTTGACAGTTTCTTGACATTTACAGAGGTCGCAACAATGTATCTATTTGTATCCATTTAGGATACAGATGTTTTTATTCGGAAACAAATAGATACAATGTTGCAACCGCTGTAAATGTCAAAGAACTGTCAAAGAAATAGCAGAGCTCTCTGCAGGGACACTTTTTGCCGGACTGGAATTCCTCTTATTTTTCATCCTTCTTCTCCTTCTTCATCATCATCCTCTTCTTCATCATCATCCTCTTCTTTTTCTTCTTCATCATCCTCTTCATCCTCATCATCATCCTCCTCTTCATCATCATCCTCTTCTTCTTCGTCATCATCATCCTCTTCTTCTACTTCATTATCATCCTCTTCTTCAACTTCTTCATCATCATCCTCTTCTTCTACTTCTTCATCATCATCCTCTTCCTCATCATCCTCTTCTTCGTCATCATCATCCTCTTCTTCATCATCCTCTTCTTCTTTATCATCATCCTCTTCTTCTTCATCATCCTCTTCATCATCATCCTCTTCTTCTTCTTCATCATCATCCTCTTCTTCATCATCATCTTCTTCCTCTTCTTCTTTTTGTCTTCCTCTTGCAGGTCACTGCTCATGCGCAGATTTTTTATCGGTAAAAAAATCAGCCGATTTGCCCATCATTGCCGCGAAAATCTGCCGATCGGCAAAATCGGCCAATTTTTTTCCAACTTTACCGATAAAAAAAAACCGGCCAAAATACCGAAAAACAGCCAAACAAATAGCCCACTAACGATCCGAAAATCAGCCGATTTTATTTTCGGCCGAAAAATCGGCCGATTTTCGACCCATCTATGGCCTGCATTAGGCCCTGACTGTGAGTCTGGCCATTCCTTAAATACAACCCCTGCAATCAGCTTCAGGTGTTTTGGCTGACTGCAGGGGTGAGTCTCTGATTGCTGAGAGCACCCGCTGGCCAGCCCTGGTACTGCAGCCCACAAGGCAGGTGAGTCCCACCGTTATTGGCAAGTCCATTCCTGACAGAGGGGCTGGTGCAGGAAACAAGTTAGGGCAGTGGAGGACATGCAGCCAGCTGGCCAGGAGGGGGGAAGCCACCGTGATGGAATTTGGCCATTTGGCAGGGATCCCTATACTGTGACAATCATTTTCCAGAAACTTGTGGAAAAAAATAAATCTTCCATGGACTCAATATGCCTCTCAGCAGATAGTTTAGGGTATCTACTTTCCGAAAAGGGGTCATTTGGGGGTGTTTGTACTATCCTGGTATTTTAGCACCTCTTGAATGTGATGGGCAGTTAGAAAGTAAAAGCTGTATAAATTCCATTATCTATACCATAGTTTGTAGATTCTGTAACTTTCACACAAAGCAATCAATATACACTTTTTGGGATTTTTTATAACCAAAAACATGTAGCAGAATACATTTTGGCTTAAATTTATGACGAAATTTTAGTTTTTGTGGATATTTTTTATGACAGAAATGAGGAAATTTTGTTTTTTTTTCAAAAAAAGAATTTTTTCTCAAAACTTTTTTTGTTTATAGCGCCAAAAATGATAAAAAAGCACATGATAAAATACCACCAAAAGAAAGCTCTATTTGTGTGAAAAATAGGACATAAATTTCATTTATGTACCGTATTGCATGACCGTGCAATTGTCAGTTAACTAGTGCAGTGCTGTATAGCAAAATAAATGGCGTAAATTGCAGTATCTATACCATAGTTTGTAGACGCTATAAGGTTCACACAAAGCAATCAATGTACACTTACTGGGATTTTTTTTTACCAAAAACATGTAGAAGAATACATTTGGGCCTCAATTTTATAACTAACTTTGAGTTTATTATATATTTTTTATAGCTGAAAGTAAAAAATATTGTTTTTCTGCAAAATGTTTGGTATTTTTTTGTTTATAGCGCAAAAAATTAAAAGCGCACAGGTGATCAAATACCGCCAAAAGAAATCTGTATTTGTGTGAAAAAAGGACATAATTTTTGTTTGGGTGCAGCATTGCATGACCGCGCAAGTATCAGTTAAATTAGTGCAGGGCCGAGTAGCAAAAAGAGGTCTGGTCATTAAGGGGGGTAAATCCTCAGGAGGGCAAGTGGTTAAATACCACCAAAAGAAAGCTCTATTTGTGGGGGGAAAAGGACATCAGTTTCATTTGAGTAAAGTGTTGCATCACTGTGCAATTACCAGTTGAAATAACACAGCGCTGTATAGCCAATCATGGTCTAGTCATGGAGAGAGGTAAATCTTGTGGAGGGAAGGGGTTGAAGTCATTGAAGTCAGACATTTAGGATGTTTTCTGTTGTCGAATTGCAGGCAGATTGTTGGTTTTGTATAGGGTGCAGAGGGATCAGACTCCTGTGCGGGTGTATTGCTGTCTGTGCCCAGAGTAGGGAGACATTCTCTATATTTGTCCTGTTCACCATTATCATTGGAAGTGAAAGTAAACCCTAAATGTTGGGTGGGTTCATGGGATTGATTTACAGGGTTGTGCTCTCACTTCCTGTTTTGTCTATGGGACAGGAAATGAAGGGAAATCTCCCCAATGGGGCACCAGTGACACAATACCTGACGGGTTCTAGCTACTACTTTACCCAACATGAAGAGAGAAGCTGTGCCAGTAGTCGTATTTTAGGACACAGTGGTGGCGTCTCACTGCTAATGCTGCAGTATTTCTATACACACTCCTGTCCATCAAGGACCCCTCTTCCCCATCAGGGACAATTCTTCTATCGCGCAGACAATTGCCAGCTATCAGGACCAGCTGCCACCAAAAGGTGGCCGGTGACAGAAGAACACATGGGATGACGAGCAACAAAGAGGAAGCATACAACCCGCCAATGGTTCCCGTCCTCGCATCTTATTGGCTACGCATAGTGCAGTTCCGCAAAGCGATTGGCCTTTGGGGAGGCCGCTTTCTGTCAGTCAGCTCTGCAGACAGTGCGCTGGGTGAGGCGTCACTTCCGGAGCCGAGGCACACGAGCTGGTGTGAGCGAAGGGGGATCTGAGAGACGTACATCATGTCCTCCTTGCTGAAAGTGGATCAGGAGCTGAAGAAGAAGGTGAGCGGCGGCATTTCGGAACGCTGTGAGCAGCTCTGTGTTTGGGGGGGGAGAGGCTGGGGCCTTGTGCCTCCTTTCATGGTGACACAGCCTGGCTTGGAGGAGAGGCTGCCTGGACCGAGGGGTTGCTCCCAGGCCTTGGTCTGTGGAGGGCTCGGTGTTGGGGGACATGTAGCCTCCAGTGTGGGGGATGGAGGTGACCTTCGTAGTCTGGGTCACTGTGGAAGCCTGGTGTATGGTGTACTGGCCAGGGAAATCATCCGTTTTGTTCAGAACTAAATTACAGTGGGCATGCCTGTTACCTAACAAGACTGTGTTTTGTGTATAAATTTTTCATCTCACACCATTCAGACAATAGAACGTGCCCAGGAAAATCTCCACCAATAACAACGTTGTACTTGTGGTTCAGTGAGTTTGATAAGATGTCATCAGGGAGCGTGTCATCTCCCTCCGTGATGTCAGCCATTTGCCTGAGGTGGGAGAAGGTATGTCTCCTCCCTCAATAATGTCATCAGGCTTGCTAAGCTGGGGGTGAGGAGGCATATGCTCTCGCTGAATTTTGTCATCTATTTGCCAGCATGTCCTCTCTCTCAGTGGTGTCATCCGTCTGCCTGAGGCAGGAGCGAGCATGTCCTCTCCCTCAGTGGTGTCATCCGTCTGCCTGAGGCAGGAGCGGGCATGTCCTCTCCCTCAGTGGTGTCATCCGTCTGCCTGAGGCAGGAGCGGGCATGTCCTCTCCCTCAGTGGTGTCATCCGTCTGCCTGAGGCAGGTGCGGGCATGTCCTCTCCCTCAGTGGTGTCATCCGTCTGCCTGAGGCAGGTGCGGGCATGTCCTCTCCCTCAGTGGTGTCATCCGTCTGCCTGAGGCAGGAGCGGGCATGTCCTCTCCCTCAGTGGTGTCATCCGTCTGCCTGAGGCAGGTGCGGGCATGTCCTCTCCCTCAGTGGTGTCATCCGTCTGCCTGAGGCAGGTGCGGGCATGTCCTCTCCCTCAGTGGTGTCATCCGTCTGCCTGAGGCAGGTGCGGGCATGTCCTCTCCCTCAGTGGTGTCATCCGTCTGCCTGAGGCAGGTGCGGGCATGTCCTCTCCCTCAGTGGTGTCATCCGTCTGCCTGTAGCTCTTACCAAGAGCAAGCGGCCTAGAGTGACAATGTTGCTCGTCCATAGATACTGGACAGTCAGTGGAAATTGATACCATAGAGCAGGAAGTGTTATTGGCAGGATCTCTAAACCCAAGAATACAAATATTGCAACTGCCAAAGATAGGATTTCCTTCATTTTAAAAGGATTTTCTCTCACTTCTGTCCTGCCTACAGTAGAAGGGAAATCTTCCCAGTGAGACACGGATTGCAAAACTGGCAAGGATTTAAACCATCCCCCCATTCTATCCAAAAGCTATTCTATAATAATCTATAGATCTTTTGGCTATATTTATACTTAATGGAACTTCACTCTCTCAATTAACATTGACACTTTTCAATCCTTATGCTGTTAGCATTAGTAAATATATAGGAAAGTATATCCTGTTTACTTGTGTTTAAACTTTTTATTTTTTTCAGTTACATCCTGGTTTCCTTGCCTATGCAAATGAGATCATACATCCCAGCAGTCTTCAGGTGGGGAGGAGGGGTTTTCTCAACCAATCATGCCCCCCCCCCCCCCCCCCCCCCCCCCTGCATGCATGCCTGAGCTAGAGGCAGATTGATTCCAGGAAGTAAATGCTACATGTATTATCTACCCTTACTTAAGATGGGCATGGCCAGAAATGCTAGGGCAGCCTTTTTCAACCTTTTTAACATGGAGGAACCCTTGAAATATGTTTTTGTCTTCAGGGAACCCCTGCTATTAATTATTATATATTTACAGCTCACAATACATTAGTGTGATGGTCCGTGGGAAGAATGCTCCTTGCATTTGTGATCACTGGGAAAAATTCCCCCCTTTCAGATAGATACAAAAGATCATTGGTGTCAGTAGGAACTTATGAGAGGTAGAAATTGTTTATTGCCTAAGGAACCCCTAGCAACCTCTGGGGGAACCCTGGTTGAGAAACCCTGTGCTAGGAGGTGTTTTTCAAAGTGATTTCTCAGCAAAAAAAAAAAGCATGGAGACATGGATGAATGAGTTTGCTTTGAATATTTAAAAATTAATTAAATGGTGATATTTATTTGTAGTGGTGAGATGCAGTGTGCTTTAACCTCCCTAGTGGTATGATTATTTCAGATTTTTGGTGCTGAAAGCGGTACCATTTTTTTGCATGGAAATATGTAGTTTTTTTTATTGTAGGCCTGTAATTTTAGGAATAACTCACTGAAATCTGTCCGAACAAGAGTCTAGTAAACATTCCCGATATGATAAAACTTGAAACACGAAATCATAAATTATAATTTAATAAATAATCATAAAAAATAACAATATAATAATAATAAATTTAATTCAATAATATAATCAAACCAAAAACACTGAAATTTGAAATATAGCGCCAAGTTCGCACATCGCTGGGCAAAGTCGCAAAATTGTTTTCAGTGTCTGATGACGAATTTCCCCACGAATCATCACTCAATTCTGCAAGTGGTTCTGATTTACTATCGCTGTTCTCTAGCCGGTCTAAAACTGATTTTGACCTAAAGGGATGCTTTTTGGACGCCATGGACATTTCTAAGTTTCCAGGCAGAAAGAACAGTCAAAATGCAGGCAGGGCACAGGACAAAGCAGTAGGGACAAAATGTATGTGAAATGGTTTGAGACAGCAATGTTTTACTATGTAATAATCGTTTAAAAAAAAAAAATGTCATCTTTTAAAATTTTCTAATTTGCTGCCAGTTCCGGCGCCCGTACGTCCCAATGTCACAGGGACCGGAAGCCGGCATCGGCAGGAAGAGATGGCCGGGGACGCATCGCGGGAGCTAAGGACAAGGTAAGCGCTGCAGTGAATCCCTGTGCAACGCTGCATGGTAAGCCCGAGTGTAGCTCGGGGTTACCGCTTTTGGTACTGAAACTCTACCCCGAGCTACACTCGGGAATATCGCCAGGGAGGTTAAACTCTGGATTTTACCATGGTAACTGAAAAAACCATTTCATATCAGTGGCCCAGCTCCCCGGTAGGCACTGTGCTGACGTTTGTCACTCTGCATCAGGCCCTTTTGCTGTTAGGTGCGCCATAGTCCTAGGAAGGTGACAGAAGGAGAGGGTGTGGCCTTGGAGCTGGCAGACATGGCACTGAGGTGTTATTGGGAAAAGACCTACCTGTCCTCTGAACACGGTCACTGGTACTTACATGCTGTGGATGTGCACTGCCATTAGTGTTATGGAAGTCCTGCTTCATGGTTCAGTGCTGGTAATCAGAAAGAGGGGAGACACAGCCAGCAGTTACATGTGCCCCTCCGCTACAGACCTCATTGTGTGCTGGGAGGAACTGGAATGGTTGTCTTCTGAAGGTGATATAGTTATGCCATAAGACAACCTTATCTAGCTGTGTGTGTTAAGTAGGTTTAAATATTGTTTGTTGTTAACCCTTACATATACCAAGTGAAGGGTCTAGCCTTGGGTGATGCACAGAGATAAAGAAAATCCTCCCACATATGCTGTACCTATTCTTATATTGAGTCTTGTTCAAAGTCAAGAATTGTGTAAAGCTTGTCTGAGCTTTCAGAAAACGAGAGAGCTGAAATTACATAATGCAGAGCTCAGTAAAGAAAGCCCGAAGAGCTGATTGAAGGAGAGGTACACACTGCCTTTCACACAACACACAGGAACGGAGCTGAGGCTACCAATCGCAGGCTCTGGGCTGGAGATCCATGTGCATCCCCGTCCCAGCAAACCCATAGATGTCTGTTGGGACACGTGGCTACACGGACATTCACTATGTCCCAGTAGATGCCTGTTGGTCTGCTGGCACGAGAAAACCTGCTCCTGCATAGTACATGCAGGTAATCGGACATGTGAATGAGCCCTTAGTCCCTAAGTGAAGAGGCAATTCTTTACCCTTTTTTTTTCATCTATTAAGGAAATTGCCCCTTTCTTTAAGCTAGTGGGTCGTGTAGGGATTATGAAAAATAGTTATTAAGAGGTTGTCAAATGAATTATCATGTCACCCAATATTTGGTCTCCATTCAGTAGCCAAAAAGAGGCATTCAAAAAAAGGGGATTTGTGAAAAGAAATTCACAGAAAAAAGCGGCTACATTATGAACAGAACGTGACACTCAGAAAAATTTCCAAAAATTATGCTTTATTACACATATATAAATATGACATATGGGCGTTCGCCCTGGTTTACCATCACCTCAGTATGAGACAATACACACAGACCTAAAACCATATAAAATGACACCAAGACCGGTCTAAATGCATGTGCAACAGAAAAATGACTGCAGGAGTCTAATATCCCTGTAGCACAGACACATAGGTGAACACTTCCCAAAAGAGGTGTATCCAAAAATTATACCATAGGCATACCATAATGTTGAATATTATATGTAAAACAATACCATTATGGTGAATCCCAATCAGGGAATCCAAAAATTATACTATGGAAAAGTATCACATGTATACAATGCAGCAAGCACAATAGGCGTCAAGAAGAGAACAACAAGCCTCAGGCCTGTATGGGGGGAGACATGAATGTCAAATATATGATGCAATACATTCCTGTGCCGGCACAAGTGGTTGGGGCCCATTCATCTGTAATATAAACAGCTGTATCCTAGAGCTCTTGAATGAAGAAATGCCCCATTTATTCCCAGGGTGGAAAAAAAGGGTGCAAAAAGCAGCACTCTGCTTGAAATGGTATCTTCACCACTATATGTGGACTACACACCACCTTTCGTAGGGGAAAACAGGACATATCCCAAAAGATCTTCTGCCCGTTGAGATATATGTGGTATATCCTGTATCCTATACAAAGCACCATGATGTCCCCATCCTGTAGTGAGATAAATGATATGTGGGAAGTCACTGACAGAGTATCCACTCAATAAGATATATAGGTCATATAGATCACA